GAGAACTGATGTGTGCAATTTCCAGGACACATCCTATAAAGGAAGCTGCTGTCACTCTGTAGCATATCTGCAGCCCCTCCCACCCTTGGTTTTGCACTGCTGAACTAGTTGTGATGCTGCAGATTAAGTTAGAACCCTCAGGACAAATGCAATGGATAGAAGGAGGCTGGTCCCTGGCTGTCCATTAAGAGCAGGGTCAGCCTATTACCCCCACATTCTTTTCTGGATAGAATCTAAAAGAGGAGGAAACTATTATATTGTCTTTGCTACTTTATTTTGGGGACTCTGTGACAGAAATTCAGTCTAAACCTAATAAAAATAATATCAAATATATAACTGTCTCTAAGGTGAGAGGATGGGAAATGGCAAACTACACTTTTGAAAGGAAGAAACTGGACATAGTGACACACAAGTACTGAATTATAAACTACTAATATATAATTATATATAAAATAGTATTACTGACATTAATACTTTGAGAAAATGATAATATAGATTATAATGAAGCATTTTTAAATATCCAAGCAGGCACCTTTGGACAAGAAGTAAATGCCTATGGAAGCAGATGAACTCAAGACATTGCTGAATAGCCAACTGGAATACAGACACAATGCACAAATAACATGCATGCTTTGGTTGTATCTAATGTGAATCTTCACAATTCAATATGCTGTGTGTTGTAACAGACATACTTAATGAACTCATATGAAATAAACATTTTCTGAATTTTGGTGCCTATAATTTTTCATTACTTTTGTGTGGCCCATCATAGTTAACTGCCATCATTTTTGTGGTCACTCTTACCTCATAAGTCTTCAATTACTCTTTGGTTTAATGGAAACTTTGTGAAGCCTTGCCTGCAAGAGGTCATGACGAAAGAAGAATCACTGACAGATATGTTGCGAATGCACTATGAGCAGCCTACATGAACAAGAAATGTTTATTTAAAGAGAGCTCTATTCCTGGATATGAGAGGCCAGGACCAATGGTTCTATAGGAGATGGAGTTGCCAGAAATTCAGGCTAAAATATGGGATTTGGAAAGTTATGGCAACGTTCCATAAAAAGATGAAAGTACTGTATCTGAATAAATATAGATTTTTGTAAATGGAAAAAATAAGGTATCCCCCGAAAATAAGCCCTTATTGAATCTTTTAGAGCAAAAATTAATATAGGACTTAGTCTTATTTTCAGGGATATATGGTAGTGAGTTCAAGGCCAGCCTGAACTAAATAGCAAGACCCTGTGTCAAAAAAAAGAATATTTCACTTGCATTTATGACTAATTGCATTATATCTGATCTTAGGATCACAGAAGAAGATTAATTCTTGACCATGGTAGCCAGGCTGCTGGGCCTCACCACTGTGTAGTGCCTTTCCATGTAATATCAGGGTTGATCTATGTGACCAAAATAATATTTTTATAAAGAACCCACTTGTCAAAAATACAAGCTCTTTGTTGTGAGAAAAGGAAAAGTTTATTCCAGGGAACAGGGAGTAGAATCAGGAACTAAAACCAGGATATTCTAGCAGGGAAATATTTCATTATGAGTAGATGGGCTAACATTGGGGGGGAGAGAGAGAGAGAGAGAGAGAGAGAGAGAGAGAGAGAGAGAGAGAGAGATAGCAGCCAGCAGAAAGGGAAGGCTATACTTATACAGATTTTTTGGGAAGAGGCTATAATCATAAGCCATTTGTATGACTTGGATACCCAAGGATGATCTTCTCATGTGGGTATAGAGTTACTGGATTTCTCAGCACCAGGGGTGCTGTAAATTATATTTTAAGTACATTTGCACTATTTATCAGGGAGCTGCTGTTATCATTGAAAGCAGCGTGTTTGCTTTTTCCTGTTGGTTTAGGACAGGCATGACAAATATGACACAACTGATGATGTGTGACTCCTGAGATAGGTCATAGAGATACTCTCAGTCTGTCTTGCTCTCTTTCTCTTAGATCCCATCTAGGAACCCAGGTTCCATGTCATGAGGACACTCAGGGAGCCATGTACAGAGGCCCATCTGGGAATGAACTCAAAGTCTCCAGTCAGCATTTGAGATGAACATGGAGGTAGATCCTCCAACCCCTGTGAATCCATCAGACAGCTGCAGAACCAGATGACATCTTATATGACTCATAAAACCACTTCAAGAGGGAATGTATGGCCACTGTGGAAAACAGTTCTTCAAAAATTGAAATAAAAATAACAAACCATCCAATAGTCTCATTTTGGGTTACATAACCAAAGGAAATGAAATCAGTATTTAAGAGGTATCCACACACTTATAATTAATTGTAGCATTACTTACAGTGGTGATGAACAGGGAAATGATTTCTGACCAGAAAGAGTCTTTGCTACAGCTAACCGGGCAGCAAACAAAAGGCTCCTCCTAGCTCTGACCCCTCCCACACCTAAAACATGTCCATCCAAGTCTCATACTTTCCAGACATGTTTCCCTTCATTATCCTTTGTTCTCTGTAGAGCTTCTGCTTCCTGCCATTTATAAATAAGGTGAATCTTAGTGTACCTTTCTATCTAAATGTATAAGCTAAATATATTTACCTCATCCAATGAACTAACATTGAGTATCCTTACCCCTTCTTTTTCAAACCTGTTCACCCCCAAGACAAGACTGATCACTCTGTGGAGAAGTTCCCACTCAATCTGTTAACAATCAGTCCACTGTCTCCAATTTCCAGGGTGTGTGCTCAATTCTTCTGGGCCTGAGTCTGTTATACCACCTAGAGCTGTAACACTGAGTTATATTCCTACAACAGTAAAGACATAGAAACAACCTAAATGTCTATCAGTGAATGAATGGGTTAAAAAAATGTTGAAAATGAAATATTATTCAATAGAGCCTGACATGTGCAACAATATGGATGAAGCTGGAAAACATTAAATCATTTTGAAAAAGTGAAACCAGACATGGAAAGACAAATACTGTATGATCTCACCTATACATTAAATCTAAAAATGTTAGACTTAGAGTATAATGGAGGTTACCAAGAACAAGAGATAAGAGACATGAGATGATGTTGACTAAAGTGTACAAACTTTCAGTTATAAATGAAAAAGTTGTAGGGATCTAATGGAGACTATAATTAATGGCATTAATTATTTACTTGAACTTTGTTAAGAGTAGATGATCTTAAGTGTCTTTACCACACACATATATGAGTAACTAAGTGTGGTGATAAATATGTTGGTTAATTTGAGTATGGTAATCATTACACATTATATAGATATTCAAATCATGTTTACACCCTTAATATACACAATTTTTATCAATTTTACCTCAAGTAGTTATACTACTTCTAATGTTTGACTTATAGAAATTGTAATATAATAAATCTTTGCTGTTTAAGCTATTGAATTTTGAACTAATTTATTACACAGCAACAGACAACTGATGATATATGCTAACTCTGTTTGAGACAATATTACATCATAAAAGCTTGGTAGGTGCTACAACATGCTAGAATATTGGTCAGCTTCTCCTACTAAATAGGTAAAGTCCATGAAAAATGTGGCTTAGTTCCCTGATTTTCTATAAAATTAGAAATAAAAATCCCTCTAAGCACATATCTTCTTTATAAATTTGGGGTATGTGATTTTGGGAAATAAGGATAAAGATAGTTTATCTTCCATGCATTATCTAAGGCCGCAAACAAAAGAGGGAGATTGGCATCGTTATGCAACTGATTTACACTTTCACTTTTCCCTAATATTTAGGTGAGATGAATTTATAAATTCATTAATAAGTTAAATGGCAAGCATGGACATTGTAGAAACATTCATACAAATTATGACAATAGTCATGGACTCCTGCTTCAATCAACTTCTACTCAGTGACTATTCATAAAAGGACTGACTGCTGGATGTCCCCAGAATCCTTCCTGCTGTCTAAGACCCAGGTATTCAGAAAAGGGCCTTTCACACAGTTTTTACAGGGAGAAGAAATGGTACTTTCATATCACACTCAAGAGTACCTGAGCTGAACAAGCTCTTTCTGGAAACTGTCACTGTAATTTTCAAACCTCAAATCAGGATGAGGAACTATTCCAAAGAATCCAAGACTCAGGAAGCACCTTCATCATAGGGAAACAGCTAGTCTGGCTGCCAGCATCTGGAAAGATCAGCCTTTGATTCTCTAGATATCTGGTAGGTTTCCACTGTGTGCCATACCAGGGCACTGTAAACACGTTAGTTCAGTACCTGGTCTCAGAGTTCTTATAGTGCAACTTACAGCACTGCTTGCTCCTCCCATCCTGGACTCTTTCCACTTCTCCTTCCACTTCCACACCAAGCTGTAAAGTGTGGTAGGGAAGCAGTCTGTTCTTTCCCTTCACCTTCTGGAGTGGGGCTATACAGTTGGCACGGGGGAGTTCAGGGATGATGGTTTGGTGGGAAGCTGGATAACAGGACTATCCTAGTTTGCTGTGTCAAATTCTAGAGAAGAACTTGAACAAGTCAGAAATATTTCAGATGCATAAGTTGCTTAAGGAGCAAAAATTATATTTTCATTCTGTGTCATAAACAATGTCATAAACTGTTCATTTGCTGAATAGAACAACATATTAACTTTTCATCACTGTGAAAAAGCTATGGTTTAAATCTAGAATGTCCACCAAATCCTCACATGTGTGGAAGGTGGCTGGATCATTAGGGTGCTATACTTATCAGTGGATTCATCCATTGATAAGCTCAGTCAGTGAACGTGTTGCACTGGGTGAATTACATTCCCCAAAATGTGTGTTTTCCCCAAAGTTCAGAATATGGCCTTCTTTGGAAATAAGGTCTTTGTAGATATAACAATGATGTTTAAAATGACATCATATTGGATTAAGGTAGCTAATCTAATCAGTGACTAATGTTATGTGATTCCTTAAAGGAAGTTTATGTAAAGTCACAGAGCCCCGTGTTGTGCCCAAGCACCGTGTCCCCAAGAAGATTACCAATCATGTATGCAATACACAAGAGCAATTTATTAACACAGCATGCAGTGGGTCTGCCAATAGGAGATTAGAGACCCCAAAAAGCAATTTCAAGCTGCTTTTATAGGTTTTGGGATACATTAGCCTTAGTAACAAGCTCTATATCTTGGTTAGTTATTATATTCAAATATTATTGGCTGTTGTTGGGGTGGTGAGGTATTCTGGGGTGGCAGAGTTTCAAGGTTGCCAGGTGGTTTCTCTGGGGTGGTCTTATCTAAGGAACATTCTATACTTCTGTATATTTTGTTATCCCAGGAACTAGTTTGCCTGGCTCAGCAGTCACAAAACAATTGGGTTCAAGGCTCAATTCAAAATGCAGCCTTTTATTACAAAAATGGAGTCACTCTGGCTTCCACATTCCCCCCCTTGAGTATGTAACTCTGAGCTCAATCATGAGCTCATATGTCCATATCTCCCATTCCTAGGGAAATTCCTTGGTATTGTGATTTTAGCACCATGAGTTGGACTGTTGATACCCTGGCAAAAAGTGACTAGTTGTTGAGTATGTAGGGGCCAAAGGTTAGTAGCAAAATCAAAATGACTAAAGGTCTTATTAAGGATGAAACCAGGGTAGTCAGCCAGGGGTATTTTTGAACAGGGTGTTACTTTTTTCTTCTGGTGTTCCCAAGTACTTGGGAGACTCATAACATGGTCTACAGTCACTCTTACCAGGGCAGTGTCTTGCTCCGGTTGTAGTGTAGTCCCCATAGTGGGTTACCGTGATGAAATCAGTTTTGACTAGTGCCTGCCATATTATCCATCCTGTTGATTCACAGCCCCAAGACTTACAGAAGTGATCTGGTCCTCCACATTCACGTTGTCTCTAGCATGACCTGAAGTGCCCTGGGCAGACATAGAAGTGTCTTTTACGGGTGTCACCTCAATTTTCAGGAGTTTTACATCCGTAGCCAGTGTTAGAAGGCTGTAGTGGCCAAGAGGGCCATCGGTCAGCTGGATCCCAGTCTGTGGCAACTAGGTCACAGAGGTCAACTAGTAAATCTGGGAACCAGGCGGTAGGAGAAGCCAGCTTGGAAGTGGAATTTGCTACAGTGCTCATTATCATATTATAGATGATCCAAGTCACATTTAAGGGTTGGTGTGGACTCACTTTAATAGAGAGACCTGTTGGAACAAAAACTAACAAGCAAGTTAGAGACAAAGTAGCTAATCTCCAATGTTTTAGTCCCCTGTATCGGGGACCTCTCTCCTTGGTGTCTGGTTTCTTTTTGTTATCCGAGGTTTGAGTGGGATGGTTGGATGTCATCAGATCTTCCAGTCTGTTTGGGGCATTGTCCCCATTGCCTTGACGTGGTTGTGATGAATCCATGCTGGAATCCCATCAACCTTTACAGCTGATGGAGTTATGAGGATCACAGTGTAGAGCCCTTTCCAACAGGGTTCAAGATTCTCAACTCAACATCTCTTTATCACTACTGAATCGCGTGGTTGGAATGGATGGGCTTTTGGTGGTGTTATTCCTGTAAAAGTCACCTTCACTTTGGTCCAACGAGCCTCCTGAGCTTTAAACAATGCTTGCAAGGCAAAAAAAGAGAAACTTTTGGTTATCAAACTCAAGTAACATTCCAGAGCATATATGAGGGAGTAAAGGTGAGAGACTAGCATACATAATTTCATAAGGGGTTAAATTAAGAACATAAGGAGTATTTCTTACTCTAAAAAGAGCATAGGGAAGAAGAGTTACCCAATCACTGCCAGTTTCCAAGGTTAATTTAGTTAAGGTCTCCTTTAGGGTCCGATTCATCCTTTCTACCTGTCCAGAACTTTGGGCTTGATATGAGCAATGTAATTTCCAATTAGATCCCAAAACCTTAATTAGATTCTTCAGGTCCCTGTCTAACCTGACTTACCTTGGATAAATTTGTGGGCTGCCTCACAGCAGCTCAGAACCCCCCCCAATAAAACCTGGTGGTAAGATCAGAGCCTCTCCTTACCTACCTCAGTATTGGGGTCCACATCCAGTCACCTCAATGGAAACCCAGCTTCCAACTGTTCAGGAATGGTGGTGTGTCTTCCATCTTCCCCAACAACTAATTTCTGGGCCTCTTTAATAATTCTTTCCCTCTCCTCCATAGTGAAGAGAATCTGAAGTAACTGTTGACAGTCATCCCAAGTAGGCTGATGTGTAAACAAAATAGAATCTAACAGATTAATTAACAGATTAATTAATTAGATTTTTTGGAAAAGGGGAATTTTGTAATTTCCAATTATATGTCACTGGTAGAGACTGGCCAATGGACCAGACAGACGAGGATTCCCAGTGGCATCTGAGGCATCAGGGCCTGTAGCCCTGAGAGGGAGGGCCACAGTAGAATCCAGACCCAAATAGTCTAAGGATGACTCCCCATGCCTTGACCGGGCTCTTCTAAGAGGGGGTCTAGGGGGACTCTCAGGGGGAGCCAGCGGGGGCCCTTGTACTGGGTAAGGTGGCGGCGATGGGAGGTGTTCATCCCCCTTGGAATCTGAAGGAGGCAAGATGGGATGGGAAGCTGTAGGCCCAAGATGCTTCCATGGGCCCATGGGTTTTCCAGGGGTGAGAGCGACAACCACCTTTGGGGACAAAAAGGGCTTAAGCCAAGAAGGACGGTCCTCCAAGAGGACCTTCCAGGTAGTCATATAGGGAACATGGTCTGGATGACCAGGGTTCCCACAGACAACAGCTTTCACTCAATATGTAGTTGGCAGGTCGAGAGTGCCATCTTCTGGCCAGCCTACATTAAAGGTGAGCCATTCATTCCTGCAGAGAGTAAACATTTTCTTTTTAGTTATATGAAGTCCAAAATTGGCTGCAGTTTGGTTGAATTCCTGAAAATGGTCTAAAATGATGGGTAAGGGAATGGACAGTTTTCCTCCCATTGTACTACAAAATTCAAAACAAGCAATTAAAGAGACAAAGAGACCAAGTGCCATGTAAGTAAGACAAAGTTTTCAGAAACCAAACCAAAAGAACCAGGGATTCTGTTGGGGAATCCCCTTAATTTCCTCTTCCAAAACCAAAAGAACTCTGTCTCGACCAGATGGCCCCGAAATAACTTCAGGGTCCTGAGGAGGGAATCCAAAAAAATCAACCTCCCCCCCGTATAATCAGAGGGCCCTGAAATAACTTCAGGGTCCTGAGGGGGGGAAAAATCAATTCCCCACCTCGTAAGCAGGAAGACAGAGTTCTGACCAGAGGGGCAAGGGACGTCTCCTGGCCCCTGCAGCACGGAGTCCACTTTCACTTCTGCCTGGGCCTCCTGGCCTCCAAAATGATCCAGATCACAATTTCCCAATAAACAATTTTCAGGCATCAACAGGAAGAGAAGGACACAGAAGCAAAAGAAAGAACAAGTACTCACTGATCAGTTTCTAAAGTTTAAGTGCTCAATGCAGTAGGGGTCTTCCAGGGGCAGAGTTGATCCCGGATGAGCCCCCAAATGTTCTACTCGAGCGCCATGTCCCCAAGAAGATCACCACTCACATATGCAACACACAAGAGCACTTTATTAACACAGCATGCAGTGTGGAGTTCCCGAAAAGCAATTTCAAGCAGCTTTTAAAGGTTTTGGGATACACTAGCCTTAGTAACAAGCTCTACCTCCATTATGATTGGTTAGTTATTATATTCAAATCTTATTGGCTGTTGTTGGGGTGGTGAGCTATTCTAGGATGGCAGGTTGCCAGGTGGTTTCTCTAGGGTAGTCTTGCACACAGAATTCATGTGACAATGGAGACAGAGATTGGAGCAATATATTTATGAGTGATACACCTATAAGGAACAGCCAGGGTGGCCAAGATCCTCTATAAGCCAGGAAGCCAGGAAAGATTCTTCCCTAAGGCCTCAGAGGGAACATGAGCCTCTTGATTTCTGACTTCCAGATTCTAGAACTCTAAGAGAATAAATTCCTGCCACTTGGTTTGTTGTACTTTGTTTCAACATCTACAGGAAGGTAATCCAGAGGCCCAGACCCTGATCCTGACCCTTCAGAGCCCTAGAGGTCAGTGGCCATGTCAGGCTTAGGTGAAGCTCTTCCTGTGGAAAGTCTGAACTAATGGAAAGCTCAAGAGCAAGCACAAAAAAGAGGGGCAGTGATCATGAACCTGGAGAACATTCATCTGACACAGGGCAGGGCTGCAGCACATGGAGACCAGAAGCTTCCATGTCTGTCATGCCTGTCCTCAGGTCCTCTCTTCTTGCAGAGTTAAGAAATGGGGACATTAAGAGAAAACAGCTGTAGACCTTTAGCTGGGAAGGAGAAAAGAAGAGATGGGTTATGGCTTGATAAGGTGGGGTTGCAGAGAAGACTTTTATGTTTCACTTACTCAACTACTAGATGCTATGGTGAGTATTGGTATGCCGCTGACATGGTTTCAGACCACCTGGAGATTATCTTTTAGAAAGGTAAACAAACATATCACAAAATAGATGTAGCATTACTACATGAGAAGAAATTCTATGGCAGGATGTTAAGGTGGGATTAAACTGTGTCTTGACTGAGGAGTACAGGAGAAAATACTTGGCAAATGTTCCCTTCTTCCAAAGTGGTTGGCAGCTTGATAGTGCAGGACTTGCCAAGGAAACCATGAATTGATTTTGACAGCACAGCAGACTACCTAACTCCAGCTTATGAAAGAAAGTGGAGAATCTGAGAGAGGGCTAGAGTACACAAGAGGAAGCTATGGTGGGACAACTGTGCATGATGTCCTGTATCCCCACAAAGCAAAGGCAGCAGCATGCAGAATACTTGCTAAAGCAATGGAAATGTGTCCTGGGATTGGGGCTTGGACCGCCTTCTGCTTCATGCCTGAAAAATCTACAGAGCAGGAGTGTGAAGCTGCCTGTGGCAACAGCAGAGGTTCCAATTTGGGGGAGTCAGATTACTATATTAACAATAGATCAGTGATGTGTGCATACTATGCCAGAAATGCAGATATTGCCAAAGTGTTCTGAGTTGATCCGAAGCTTCTTGAAGGGAGTCTGTCCCAAAGAGCCACTCTTAACATTATCCTGAAAGCACTAATATGAAGAATAAGGCTGTAGGGAGAGATCCAAATAACAAGTCAGGAGGAAGAATCACCAGGAGTTTTGGGAAGCAGCTGGCTTGGACTTCAGGTCTCCCTCTGCCAACTGGGCCATGCCTTTATGTGCAGGCCCATTGATTACTCTGGACCCAGCACCAGGAAGGCGCTGCTCAGCAGCCCCCCACACTCTCAGATCCTCTGATTGTGCCAGTCCTTGGATGCAGTCTGCAGAGTCATAGCTGGTTATAAAGGGTGGTGATTGATCCTATTGTGTTCCTGATTGTATCAATTGGGATAAAGGATAGGGATCGATTTGATGAGTTGCTGTCTCAACAATGAAAATGAGAATGTCTATAAGTCATTAGAGAATCAAAGGCTGGGATGCAATGATATGAGGAAGATTTCATAACCCAGAGATTAAATCAAGGGCAACCCAACAGCAAAAATAAAGATGATAAAACATTTAAGCAAGCCACAAAGACAGACTTCCAGTTCACCAATGGCAAACAGTAGGGCAAAGGAGAATGAAAAGTCTGATAGAGAACCTCCAGGACACTCAGAACTCACAGCACAGGAAGGAACAAAACTGATCAATCAAGCTCTAGAAAAATTCAAAACAGAAATAATTTCCCAGATAACCACAGAGATGGTGAGCAAAATGAAAGACATGATTCGAGACTCTAGAGCAGAAACTGACAAAAAAGTAGATGAGCTCAGGAAAATAATAGAAACCATGAATGCCCAGAATAAGAAAGAAATGGAAACAATGAATGCACAACATAGGAAAGAAACGGAATCCAATAAACAGATTCAAACAGATATCCAGGAGATTAAAAATTCTATTGAAAGCATATTCAACAGAATAAAAGATTGCAAAGATAGAATCTCAGATATAGAAGATAGGATTGCAGACAATGACTGTGAAAAGAGAGGTCTCTTAAAAATGGTAGGGGATCATGAGAAATTGATCCAAAAACTCCTAGACGATGCAAAGAAGAATAACATAAGACTGATAGAAATCCATGAAGTAGGAGGAGAAAATGCAAATGACTTAAAAAAGCTGTTCACAGAATTAATGACAGAACTTCCCAAACAGAGGGGAAGAATGTGACACACAGATAATTGAGGCATATAGGACTAGCCACAATCAAAAAAAATCTACACCTAGACATGTAATAATCAAGATCCCAGAAACACAACAGAAGAACAAAATACTACAGTCAGTAATAGATAAGAAACAAATCACATGCAAAGGAAAGCCCATCAGAATCACAGCAGACTTTTCAACACAAACCCTCAGGTCAAGGAGAGCCTGGAGTGAGGTATTTCAAGTTCTAAAAGAAAACAACCTCCAACCAAGACTGATGTATCCTACAAAACTCTCTTTCAAAATGGATGGAGAAATAAGATACTTCCATGACAAAGAACACTTGAGAAACTTCATGAATACTAAACCAGCACTACAGGGAATTTTAAACAATATCCTAGAAAAAGACAATAAAGATCACAACACCATGAGGCCCAACAGAGCAAATCAAATAGCCAAGACAAGAAACTAAAAGGAGAGGGCAAAAAAATTAAAAAGAGTCAACAAAAGAACAAAAACATGACAATAATAAGTCAGTACATATCAGTTATAACTATCAATGTCCATGGCCTCAATTCACCAATCAAGAGAAATAGACTGGCAGAATGGATTAAGAAGCAAATCCAACAATATTTTGTACACAAGAAATACACCTAGTGCAAAAAAGAAGCCCATAGACTGAAAGTGAAAGGGTGAAAAACAATTCACCATGTGACAGGAGCCCAGAAAAAAGCAGGGGTAGCAATCTTATTCACCGACAAAGTAAATTTCAAACCAAGACTGATTAAGAGAGACAAAGAAGGCCACTACATTCTTGTAAAGGGAACAATTCAAGAGGAAGAGATGACAATCATAAACATATATGCACCAAATATAAATGCCCCAACTATATAAAACAAATTTTAAATAACACAAAAAACCAAATAAGCACTAATACAATTGTATTAGAGGATCTAAATATCCCACTATCACAAATAGACAGATAATCTAGGCAAAAAATCAACAATGAAATACTAGAACTGAACCAAAGTTTTGAATGCATGGACTTATTAGACGTCTACAGAGTGTTCCACCCGAGAAAATCAGAATATCCATTCTTTTCAACTGCACATGGGTCATTCTCCAAGATAGATTACATACTAGCTCACAGAACAGGTTTGAATAAATGCAAAAGAATCGAAGTTGTTCCCTGTATATTATCAGATCACACTGCAATAAAGCTGGAGTTCAATAGCATAAGAAACCGTAGGAACTTCACAAACACATGGAAATTGAACAACACTCTTCTGAACAATTAATGGATCACAGAGCAAATTAAAGATGAAATACAACAGTTTTTACAAATAAATGAAAATGCTAATGCAACATACAGGAATCTATGGGACACAATGAAAGCAGTTCTATGTGAAAAATTCATAGCACTGAATACCCATATTAGGAAAACAGAGGAAGCTCAAATAAACAACCTAATGATGAATCTTAGACTCCTAGAAAAACAAGAGCAAGTAAAACCTAAAGCTCGAACAAGAGAGGAAATTATAAAGATTAGAGCAGAAATAAATGCAATGGAAACTAAGAAAATGATACAAAAGATAAATGAATCAAAGAGTTGGTTTTTTGAAAGACTAAATAAAATTGATAAACACTTAGCAAAACTTATCAAAAAAAGGAAAGAAATGGCTCAGATCCATGCAATCAGGAATGAAAAAGGCAAAGTCACAACAGATCCCACAAAAATCCAGAGGATCATTAATACCTACTATGAGAACCTGTACTCTAATAAAATGGAAAACACAGAAGAAGTGGACAGATTTTTAGATACTTATGAATTACTAAAGTTGAACGAAGAAGATAAAAACATTTTAAACACCCCAATTACAATCAGTGAAATTGAAAATGTAATTAAAAACTTACCAACAAAGAAAAGCCCAGGTCTTGATGGATTCACTCCTGAATTTTACAAGACATTTAAAGAACTATTTCCATTACTCTTCATGCTTTTCAATGAAATTGAAAGGAGAGCAATACTTCCAAATTCATTCCTGGAAGCAAGTATCACTTTGATTCCCAAACCAGGGAAAGATGTAACTAAAAAAGAGAACTACAGGCCAACCTCCTCAATAAATATAGATGCAAAAATCCTCAATAAGATACTAGCAAACAGAATACAGAGGATCATCAAGAAGATCATACATCCTGACCAAGTCAGATTTATTCCAGGGATGCAAGGATGGTTCACCATACATAAATCAATAAATGTAATACACTATGTTAACAAAGTCAAGGACAAAAAAACATGATCCTCTCAATAGATGCAGAAAAAGCATTTGACAAAATTCAACACCTATTCATGATAAAAACCCTGCAAAAAATTAGAATAGATGGTCTATACCTCAACTTAATAAAGGCTATCCATGAAAAACCAACAGCCAACATCATATTAAATGGCCAAAAACTGAAAACCTTCATGTTAAAATCAGGAACAAGACAAGGATGCCCACTATCACCACAACTCTTTGATATAGTTCTGGAAACAGCCATGGCAATTAGACAAGAGAAAGAAATTCAAGCAATAAAGATAGGAAAGGAAGAAGTTAAACTATCATTACTTGCTGATGATATGATGCTCTACATTGAAGACCCAAAAAACTCCACCAAAAGCCTTCTTGACTTAATTGACACTTTTAGCAGAGTAGCTGGATACAAGGTCAACACCCAAAAATCAATAGCCTTCTTGTACACAAATAACAGACTCACTGAACCAGAAATTAGGGAAACAATTCCT